AGGGCCTTACCTACTGAAAGGGACTTTCCTTCCCCCATACCTCTAGGAGAAATTAGAAGACCAGTCCTAGTGAATCAAGGATCCAACTTCATTTAAGGAATGAAATGCATGTGTATCTCTCACCCTGATAGACCAAAATGTACAGAGAATGGGAGCCCATTTGCCAAGGTTTTCAAGTTGCTGCTGCAAAAGGGCTTGCACTGAGAAAATCCCATGAAGCTAACAAATTCGACAAAAGTTTTGACTATAGGCGCTAGACATTAGTTGGCCTTATATGGCCTCTTGTAAGGAAAGCAACTACTCAGTGCTGGGCTTTCTAGGGAATGAGATCTACCACGTCACTTTCATAGTATCAGCTTGTTCTTCAAGAGGAAATTTCTTGAGAGCAAAACACACAAGTTTGATGGGATAATAGCATTTTTCCAGGTTACAAAAATCCAGCAGCATTTTTCTGTTTTCTCGGTGGTATGTTCAGTCACTTGTTGAGGGTGACAAACTCAGTGAAAATTCTTTATAACCGTTTCTGAGCAGGTGATAAACCCCTCTGTTTTGATCTCTGTTTTGATGGTATGCCAAAACATGATTTACCTCTTTTATCGGAGAATTCAATTCCATGATCATCTTTGTCATATGCCTCGGGAGGTCTCTTATTCACATGGTTACTGTAAGTTGAATTCAACCTGACTTTAGAGATAAAAACAAAACAAAACAAAACAAAAAACTCCACAAAACAGTGTAAACTTTTGAGTTTTCATTACCTTTGAATTCCCAAGGAATTCCCAATGCCCACTTTCCTGGGCATATTTGCATCTGTTCTCCCTCCCTCTGTCAAAAATGCACAGCCATTGAAATCCATGTGAAGCAGACGGATGGCCACACGTCTCTGCCCTCAAAATCCTGCATTGTGTCTTGGGTAGGTTTTCTGGTCTGTTGTTGTGTCCCTTTAAGTCATTTCTGACATATGATGACCCTAAGGCGAATCTCTCATGGGTTTTTCTTGGTATGTTTCTTCATTGGGGGGGGGGGTTGCCATTGCCATCCTCTGAGGCTAAGAGAGTGTGACTTGCCCAAGTTCACCCAGTGGGTTTACATTGCTGAGCTGGGATTCGAACCCCGCTCTCCAGAATGCTAGGCCATTGTGCAAACCGCTACACCACGCTGGCTCCCTTGTCTACTTCCTTGGCTTCTCCTAGATATTATTGGTCAGTTTTGGGGCCTTTTCGCACGATAGAAGTAACAGTGCTTTGATTCCATTTGAACCGCTATGGCTCCATCCTGTGTGATCTTGGGACTTGCATTTTAGAGAGGGCTATTTAGAGTCTTAGGACGTTATCACACGGGGAGTCGCGGGGATAAAGTGGAAATAAACAGACACAAGCGGAAGTCTTTAATTTACGGGATTTGTCCCATTCCGCCTCGTCTGATAACTAAATTCGAATTTAAAAGGGGGTTAATTCGAACACAAACCTGATCGTTTCATTTTCGGGATTTTTGAGGATTTGAAAAGATCAGGTTTTTGTTCGAATTAACCCCCTTTTAAATTCAAATTTAGTTATCAGAAGAGGCGGAACGGGACAAATCCCGTAAATTAAAGACTTCCGCTCGTCCCGTTTATTTCCACTTTCTCCCCACAACTCCCCGTGTGATAATGTCCTTAGATACCTCTAGTGCCTTCCCAAACTGCAAATCCCAGGATTTCATAGGTCAGAACCTGGCCATTCAAGGGGATTCAAAGTGTTATAACTGGGTGCTTTATTTCAAAAGGGGACCTGTATTCTATCCTGAATTTAATGAAATGCATGAAGACGACTCAAGGTTAGTCTAGACATAAATGCGTTATATGAATTACTGCATTTCCGCACATTCACATCACTGTTTAATTTTATGAAATTGTCTTCACTTTCCTGTACATATTTGCATCTGTTCTCCCTCTGTCAAAAATGCACAGCCATTCAAATCCATGTGAAGCAGAGAGATGGCCACATGTTCAATAATGTGTACCCTTGTGGATATGCCAATAAAAACTGCGAAGCCCTTTTTTGGTGGTGTTTAAGGCATCCCCCTTCCCACAAGGGGCCTGATCTCCTGTGAATTGCACATACAGATCACATTTTAATTATGAATGAGGAGTATTTTAATTGTGTAGACAAACCCCAAGATGTGGGTAGGTAGAAAGTGGGGGATATGGACGCGTGTGCCAAAGGCGATGTATTTCAGCAGTGCTTGAGGTATGTCTGTGTCCCTTCAAGTTACCTGCCAATTTATGGCAACTCCCATTTCTTTTGGGTTTTCTTAGGCAAGGAAATGTTGCTCACATCTTCATCCGGGACCCTAAAAAGTCCTAGAAATGCCTGGAATTCTCCAAGGGTATTTTACATCTGTGTGAGTGAAATAAAAGAAATACAGTTGCGTGTGCTGGGTTTCT